CCCCAAAACCCCAAAACCCCAAAACCCCAAAACCCCATCTTATTATTCATATAAATACATTTATTGATTTGACAGTTTTATAAATTAAATAAATATTTTGATTGATCTACTACATACTAATGTTACTCAGTTATTGAGTTGTCTATCGATCTTAAGAGCTTGCGGAATCGCATTCTAATGATCGAAGTTAACAAACATGAAGTTGTTCTTGCTGTGCCCCTTAGTCTTTGCAGTCTTCTTTGCTCTGCCAATTTTAATCTCCTTTACTATTACATTTTTGATGTTTGATTGCAACTTCTTTAGGATCTTATCTTCGCTAATAGTTGTAATGTTTACATCTGAGATGAAAAGGCATTCGTCTAAGTTTCTCTTTATCCTGTCGAAGCTGTCGACAAACAAATCAACTCTTCTTTCTAGAACATTCTTTTGAAGTCGCTTAATCTCAAATAGAGAAGTGTCGTTTCCAGCTAGGAATAGTCCTTTAAGTTAGAAACTTGCAAGATTTGCTAGAGGACCACATCTTTCGGCAATCATCTTCACGATCTCTTTGAAGCTCTTGTCTGCAATAAAATTATTCTTCAAGAATAAGACTTTGAGCTGAGACTGGCTGCCTTCTTCAAGGATAGCTTTTGCAATAGCTGTGCAACCTTTATTTCTTAATCTATTATGGCCAAGATCGAGGACATCAAGACTTGAGTTGACTTTGAGTCCTTCAGCAAGAATTCTAGCTCCCTCAACTCCAAAGGAATTTCCTTTGAGATAAAGAGACTTGATTTTATCAGAATTCTTGAGAAGATCTCTAATACAAGCTGCCTCTCTAACTCCTAGTTTGAGATTGCTCAAATTAAGGAATTCTACTTAGGTCTGATTCTAGCATATCTTCTTAATGAGCTTATATTTATAGTTGTTTTGATCTGGAAGTTAACTATCCTGGAGCTAGATAATTTTAAACTTTCTCTACTAGCCAAAGATATGTAGAAGTGAAGATAATGGCAATGGAACTTTGGAATTTTTTATTTAGATGCTATGAGTCTCTGAAATCATTCCGTAGTTTAACCCCTTAATGTTAGTATCAGTAATATTTTCTAGGGATAGATTAAAACCTTGAGGCAATTATAATCCATCTATTGCTTTTGATTCCTCTTCTGAAGTTATCATTACCTTTTCTTCAGTTGCCTGATATAGCTCAGTAGTTTCAATGTCAGAGAGGCTTAGCATTCTAAGAGGCTTTTTCATCGCAGCTCTCTCAGTTATCATTTTACCCAAATGAGAAAGGAAGCCTGGATAATACTTGCATTGAGATATGTTTAATTAATCCAGTAAAGCACTTTAGCTTATTGCTTAAATAAGACCTTGAGTAATTTAGGCCTTTGATTCCTTCATGTTCAACTTTTGAAGTTATGTTTTACTTATTATTTCTGCTAGTCGTCGCTCTAATCTTTTTGAATCAATTTCTTCGATTACTGTTCCTTACATTGAGAAACTTTGAAGATTTGTGCATTCTGGAAGAACATTAAGAACATGCCAGATAGAGGCATTTAGAGTATTTCTGCTTAAATCTAGTTATCTCAGTTGAGATAAATTAAGCTTTACGGTTTACTGTATTGCCTTGGTAGACTCGATTGGAATTTGACAGTCAGTAATTTCTAACACTTCTAGATTAGAGACTTTGCAATTCAATAGAGCTAAAGCTTGGACTGAACCGATTTCAAAATACTCAATTCTAAGAGTCTTAAGAGTGTTCTTCTAAGTTGAGATAAAATCTGTCAAGTGCTCACTTAAAGCTATTTTCATCTTTGGTTCGGTATTTACAATGCTTAACTCCTAGAGCTCGAATGAACCTGATTCATTTATAAGAGACATCAAATCTTTTGCAAAGTCTTAGGTTTCAATATTAGCTCTAATGGACAGCTTTTTGAGTGAGCCTAACTCCTTAATCATGATCTTGTTTGCACTTATTACCTTCAAACTTAAGTCAAGAGACTAAACTTCATTCTCCTTGATGATTGGTAAAACATTCTCGTAGAATTGCTTGATATCAGTGCTGAATTAGTTCAAATATAGGGCATATTCAGTATCAAGTTTTGCAAGTAATTGCTTGTTATTTTGAATAAACTGATCAATCTTGACTTCAAAATGAGGGTCTTTCAGAAGTTTCTGAACATCTACCTTTTAGGTTCTTTGAAGTGCAATCAAATCAGAAATTTGACCAGGTAAAAGTCTTTCTTGTTAAACTCTGTATTACTGAACTTAGGGATATCTTTATTGGAATTATGATGAAATGAAGTCCTCATCAGATTCTTTGGCATCCTCTTAATCATTGAATTTGAAAAGACCTTCCTCATTAACTATTTGGACTACTCTATTATCGGAATCTTCAAGAGGAAAAGCATTTTCGATCCCACCATGATAATTCTTATTTTTAGAGTTAATGAATGCTTGTCTCAACACTTGATTTAGCTTCTCCTGCTTCATTGAAGGGAATCCAAGTCTCTGGAAAAACTCTTCATAACTGTCGACCTTTTGAATTGCTTTGATTTCCTTTTAGAAGGCTTCTTCGATCTTAGGGTCAAGTCTGCAGTATCTCTTATCATACTCTGACTTGATGTCATTAAAATCTTTCACATCTTGACCTCTCTCAAGTAACTGACTGACAAAGAAGTGGAATAATAGTTGCAATTAGAAAGACTTCTGATTAAGGTTGAATGAATCTTTCAGACCTTGAGCAGTTAGTGGATTTTACTCGATGTTAGCATACTCTGGTACTTTGAGCATTGTCCAAAATACTTTTCTGTCTAATGACTCAAAGAGTAAAACTTGCTTGATAGACTCTATATTGTGATTGTCAGAAACACTAAGACAGGCCATTAAAACTCCGAGATCTGATGTGTGTTTCTTATGTCTACATTCCTCACTCTCAATGAATTTCTTTATCCTTACTTCAAGATCGTGTCTGACGTTTGGATGATGATCAAGCAAAAACAAGAATGCTCTGTGGAACATGAGGAACATTCTTAAACCCTTGATTGAAGAGAACTCAATGTTCTCCAAAGCTTAGATAGCATGAGTTAGCATCATATATGGAAGAGTTTTTAGGATCAAGGACTCATCGAATTGGTCAGATCTGTTAGTTACTAGAAGACTTAAACTTTTTCTGAAATTTTCTAGCTATTTTTCTTAATTGGTAACTTAATCTCCGAAGAATAAAGGAATCCAATGGGAGAATCTTTTCTTATTCAAAGCTTTTCTAAGTCCTTCTTTGAAAGCTTTTTAAGATACCAAATCGACAGTAGTAAAAATTGAATTGATCTACTTGGTTCTGGCAAGTTTAGAGAAGGCAATACCTGTTCCTAGCATTGTTTGCTTAACATTTAATCTAGTATGAAAACAAAATGTTTCATCGATAAGTTTTTCCTCTTCTGTTAGAGAAGCAAAGGTTTTAGGCCCACCTTCAAGAATGCAAGTAAATGGAGGCCAGATCTTATTAGCTTTCATATCATGATCGCAGCCATTACATTTGAAATCTTTCACATTTTTCATTTCCTTCTTAATTTTATCCTCTTTTCTCTCTTCAAAGTCAAATAAGCAGCACTGAATCTACATCAGAATTGAAAAAGTAGAGTACCCAGAACACCAGTCTGATTCTGTAATTTCTGAGGAGAAAACTTAGTTGTCGAAAAAAGGTGAACTGAATGGATGGAGCTGCTTAATTTATGGGGCATTGTTAGGATAGTCCTTAGGGAAAGTGATTTCTAAGTGAAGAATTGACCCATCATAAGGTGATCCCTCAGGCCCAGTAATGTTTGCATGCCATACCATGATATTATCTTTGAGTGGGAGTGCAGAAATACCGAGTTAGGGGTCAACCTTCTCCTCCATCTCTTCTAGATCTAAAATGATTCTCTTCTCAGAGTAGTTTAGAGGTCTAGTCTTCTCAATACTTTTAATAAAGTTGTTTCTCAACTCACTTTTTGAGTTTGATTCCATTTGTATTTTATTAAAGATTTACAAGTATATTGCAAGAAGTTATACTATTTTAATAAAGTTAGGGCTATATATAATTACAAGTGCCAATATAATTAAATTATTTTAATTTTTGTTGCAATTACCATTCCGTCAGAAACGCCCCTGAAATAATCAGAAAAATGGGGTTTTGGGGTTTTGGGGTTTTGGGG